CAATTCGCTAACAAGTACCACGAATATAATTGAGCAATTTGAGAATATACTTTTAAATTCAAGTCCAAAGTTTACTGAGAAAATAATTTCAGGGTTATTTTTAATAATTTTTAAAAATTTAACAAATTTTAATCAAATATTATCAAGAACGGAAAATACACATGAAGAATTATCGTTATTAGCTTTATCACTTTATACATTCCATGGTCTTTCAAATTTAATACATGTTGCATTGCCAATGGCTAAGCGTATATTTTGGCGACGTAAATGTTATTATGGGGAAGGTAGACGTGGTCAACATTTTATACAATTTGATGAATTCTATAAAAGAAAATTTAAACCTGCTGACAATTGGTTTAAGAATCTAGTAAATAAAGGCAAGTTAAAGAATGGTATAACATAGATTTGAGTTAACTGTTCATATCTGCCCTTACCCTTATTTAAGCCCGGATTAATTTTCCACTTATTGTCATCATTCATTTTTTAATTCGATTAAACAGAAATTAGGAAGGAAAAATAGACACCAACTGCAAAAATCAACATTTATAAAGGAGAGAAATTTGATCATTCCGTCGCAGAAAATAATAAGAGCAAAATTAATATTTGTCTCAAATAGGGGTGGGTGAGAAAAAGGACCTAATTTTACTACTTCGGAAAGGTCCATTGGATGAATTTGCGAAATTGGAATGGTTCTATAAGTCAAGACTCTGACTAAAAACCCAGAGCAATGCCTAGACTAAAATATCTCACGACTCAAGCAACAAAAACATTTATACATCTCTTTAAGAAATTATTTTAATATTAAGTACGCAAAACAAAGAAATTTAAAAAGAAAACTGAGAACATCAAAAATTTTGAAACGGATAAGTACGAAGAATCAGACGTTAAAATTCATGAATTTTGGTTTTATTTATATTATGGACTAAAGGATGGGAAAAAACATGAAAAAATACAAGGAAAGCCTCAAAATGCTGTCAAAATTAATGAAGGTCTATCAGAAAAATTAAATAAATTTTGTGTGCGCAGTGTTTATTTACCACCCAAATTTTGCAGGAATATCTTCAAATTCCAAGATCCTCCGATATCCCTCTTAATCCACCAAAACCGCATGATATCCCTCCTAATCCCCCAGTCCACGATATCCCTCTTATTCCCCTAAATCTATCGTTATAGAGGAATAATAAGTAAAAAAGTCTTGAAATAACAAAATTCACGCCAAAACCCAACAAATTCCCGAAATCGTTCATTGAAAAAATCGGAAATTCCCGCTTCCCTAAATCGGGAATTTGTTTTTATGTCAGTACGATCTCTGGTGTGTAGATTAACTCTGACTGGGCAGATCTCTAACTTCTCAAAAAATTTTTGCGGGAATAGGTGTCCTATGGAAACATAAGAGCGGTACATGAACCCAACGTTTGCATGTGTTCTAATTGCTTAAGCTTATGACTCACGCAGTTATTGTTTTAACCGCTCACTGTAGAAGGTAATATTTGACAGAATAATTATTAGAGCATTTACGGTATTCATAATGTTTAATTTCAATTAAATTTAGTTTTGTTCAATACTCCAATTACCGGAATATATGCAAATAATCAAGATTTATTTTCATACTATACACATTTTGAACCAGGTCAAACATCATCACATCCAGATCATGAAGGTCAATTCTCGATTTAGCCTATTATCTCATTAAACTATTGGGATTCTGATCTTTTTATTATTTAGATGACCATCCTCAACGTAGATGTACGATTTCTCGTAAAAAACGCTCGGTTAATTTTTTGAAAGAAAACTATTCGCGCAAAAAACGTACACCATCAAGCTCCACACATGGTGAATCATCATCAAGGCCAGAAGAACCATTAACAGAAGAAAATTGTGGACCTTGGTTTGCCTTTATTTGGTTTGCGCTGAAAGTTTATGTTTTTGCAATGGGATGGATGATGTTGGCTTTCATTTATTTCCCTAACTTGATCCCGACATCTTAAAAATTGAAATTTTGACGTTAGTGAGGTCAAAGTTAGTAGAGTACTTTTAAGATTTTTTAGGTTTCTCTACGTTTATAATCTTTTGATTTCTGTGTAGATCTTTTTGCTCTAGTCGGATCTCACTTTTATTACTGTTTCCCATTAATTTTTCTCTTCACAGTTTATGCGTCACTTAAAGTTGAATATTGGTTTGTCTTTGGGTTTAAGGTTGGGGTTAACATTGATACTTTTCATCTTGTAACCGTGACAAATGATATGTGTTTGTAGACAAATTTTTGCCTCATATAGGGAATGTTGTAACGAGTTTTGAAGACCGACATTTCAGATCAACCATCCAAAAATACCGAAAATTTAACATAGGACGCATAAATTGTAAAAGATAGTGAGAGTCCCATTAGATCCAAATTCAAATAAATCGGATGCATAATTATTCTTTTCGCAGTTTATACGCACCCTAAAGATGTTAAGCGAGATCTGACTTGTCTGGGGTTTTTTTGTTCCAGTTGCTGCCTTTTGGTTCAGCCTAACTGGAACTTTTTTCTCCCCGGAGGCCTATCTTCTTTCAGTTTTCGGCAACTTTAATCATTTATTTCCAAACTAACCTTTATTAAATTTTATTTTCTTTATTAAATTATGTTTTCTTATTTTAAAATTGTTACGATAAATTTTAAACAAGATTTGTCAAATTTTTACTAGTGTTATGATTAGAGAACGTACTACCGTATATATTTATTATACAATGTTACGGAATACGGAATAGTACAAAATTCCGGTATATAGTATAAATTTTATGAATTAAACCCGATACCTCTGAAACCTAGCTTAAAGGCAATAAACTGCAGTTATAAACTATTTTCAACTGGTTTTTTATAATAAGGCTGTTCGTTGCACGATCCGATGCAGCAACCTCTGTAATATACGTGTTTTAGGATCTAGGAATCCAGTGATTCCTAGGATCTAGGAATCATTTTAGTTTTTCAACACATGTCCTCTTTAACCTTTTACATAATTTCTCTTTTCTTCTTTGCCATTTAATATTCTTTGCATTTTAAATTTTGATTTTTTTGCTCCCGATTTAATTTACTTTTTTACGATTTCTTACTCGACAATGAGACGGGGTCTTTCTGGCGCTAGTAATGCTTGTCTCTACGGCAAAGTTATTCCAACTGCTATGAACCTCATTGCAGTATTTGTCGCCCCCGATCCTTACAGGTGCCACAAACGAAAATATATAGAAACCTCATCTACAATGTAAAAATCTCTAAAGGCAAAAAATCGTCAGTAACTTAATTTAATAAATCTATTTTGAAATAAAAACATGTATGAAATTTTAAAAAAGGAAATTATATTGGATAAATATTGAATAATAAATATTGAATAAAAATTGAAAGGATACATAATCCAGTGTGTATTTTTGTTCGTGTGATGAAAAAGTGAGTTAAAAATTAACTTTTCTCTTTTATTTATAAATGAATTTCCTCATTATTTATAATATTTTTCACACACCTACATACACAATTCAAAAATTAGAGAAAAGGGTCCATTTACATTTTAAAAAAAGTTTATTGATAAATTTAAAAAAATAAAAATCCAAAAACAATATTACCTAAAAGTTCTGATTTAGTATGTAATCGTGAATAAATAATAATAGGTACTTCAAGAATTGAGGTACTTTATGGATTTCAGTCTTAGAATCAGCCTTAGAATGTCTCCAAAAAATTTATCAAAAGCACAAAAATTGAAGTAAAATCACTTTATGCGCTATATTTTTTGACTACAACACTCGGCTTATCCGCATCTGCCAACTTTTCTGCCAAAGAGCTTTGCAAAAGAGAAGTTAAAGGGAAAGCTTTAAAAAAATTCTCGCGTGATTCTTTTCTCCCCTTGTAGAATTACTTCCAATGTTTTTGCCATAACTTTCTTCAAAGTTATGAAAATTGCTAATTCTTTTTTTATTTATACCAACATTCCCAACACTCTTATTATTTATAATTTTTTATCAAAAAAACTCTCTTTTAAAGGTTAAGAAATGCATTTGCACTTTAAAAAATTTTTTTATTGCACTTTTAATATTATTAAAAGTCAATAAGCATGATTTCTTAATATGACAAAAATCGGCTTTTTGATTTATTCAAAGGGGCTATGGATAATTTGCCCTTTTTGCCTGTCCTTTTTTTAAATTTTTCTATCTTTTTTGTGCCTTTTTGCCCTTCTGATTAAAGAAATGCCCTTTTTGTTTTCCTTTTGGTGGCACGAATTTTCGTCAACGGACTTTCCGTCAATGAGTGGATGTTTTTTTAATTTTTAGAAAAATAGAAGATGATACATGTATGTAAAAGTGTTGTCAGATTGAAAATTAGACTTATTTGATAATCCTGAACACAGTTATAAGCAATTGTGTCACTACGAAGGATAGGTAGTCTTTTCAAGGTTGAAAATCGGTAAAAATGAATAGGTTTATGTTACTGGTGTAGAACCCAGCGACCTTTGACTCCCCGCGAGGCGCGTGCCGCAAAACCCCGCGCGAAGCGCGGGGTTTTGCACAAGCGCCTTGGTGACGCCCCATAGGTTATTCGAGAGTATTTGAAGAAATAAGGAATCTTAAACAAAATTGGGCTCATAATTTAGTTATTTGTGGCTTTGAACAGGCCGATTAATTTTCTAAATTTTTTAAAAGCGATCATTTATTGATGAAAAGTCCGTCCATTGACGAAAAGTATTGACGAAAAGTCCATTGACGGAAAGTCCGTTGACGAAAAGTCGTAGCCCCTTCCTTTTTGTTTTCCCTTTTTGTGTTTCCCAAAGTCATAAGTAAGATTTCCCTCTCAAAATTACTTAATAAAAGCCGGTTTTCCCTCCCCTTACCCATTCTATTTATTCAATTTCTTAGTTTTTATCTTTAAGGGATTTAATTGAAATTTTTCCTCTTAAAAGGGTTAGGGTAACGTAAGAGAGCCTAAGTAACATTAAATCGGGAGACTTAACTAAACTTTAATTTAAATATTTTTCAGAATGAATTTAAAAACATTTATTTTATTCCTCTACTTGATTGTTGAGGAGATTCAAGGTGGGTATTATATCCTTGATAAGGAATTATGAATGCATGGAATTGGTGAGTGATTCGGGAGAGTTGGGAGAGATTGGAGGTTGGTAAGGGATTGAAAGTCTTTATTAGAGGCTTTCGGAACCTCTAATAATAACACATATGGACAACATGGAGTGGGTAAAAGTAAAGGTTAAATGAGTGTAACTTGTGTAACATTAGAGGGTAAAAGTAAAGGTTAAATGAGTGTAACTTGTGTAACATTAGAGGGTAAAAGTAAAGGTCAAAAAATGAATAACATAAATCTGAGTTCCACTATATTTAAATTTTTAAAAGGAGCAAATTTGCCGTCAAATGTTGCACCAATTCATCCAACATCAACAAATGTTGGCGAAATCGCTCCGGCATCGTATGAAAATGTTAATGGTGTAAAATACTCGAATATTCCTTTCTATGAAAATCCAAAAATTTCGAAAAAAGGAGAATCAAGCTCGAAAAAAGAAAAAAACGGTTTAGGAAAAGCAGGAAAAGTGGATGATTCGAATAGATTTTCCGTTTTGCGAGGACTGACAGAAGAAACCCAGCAGAAAATGTTTGCTAAAACTGAAACTAAGACAAAATTTGAAAAGAAATGTCAAGAAAATTGTAAAGAAGAGTGTGTTCAGGAAGGTAAGAGCAGAGCCTGCATTTAAAAAAAGTAGTTAATTAGGGGTAACCATAAACAAACCCCTGCCCAGTGGTTAAACAGAAATATGAGAAGCCAATTTTTAGGGGTGTAAGTTTAGAAAAGACTAAAAAATTCAAGTCCATGATCCAGAGACACGCACATCTCTAATTAATTAAATTAAAATTTTTAAGTTGTGATTGATACAACTCAACTTAGCACAAAACAGAAGAGGTTATTAATTAAATTTTTAAATAAAAATTAACAAAATATTCAGTGGTGCTATCAAAAAGCCCAACAGGAAATTATTACAAGCAAATCCACCTACTGTAGCTGCAACAACAGATAATTTGCCAAATTTTAGTGATCAAACCGACACTTGTTGTTGCTGCTGTCCTAGCTGGATTAGAGTTGTTGTCGTTGGGGCACTTGTTCTTCCTGGATTAATCTTAAATAATATTGGAAACGTTTTGGACTGCAAAATAGGTAATCTTATTACAGTCTGGATTACTATAAGTTGCTTTTGACGACGAAAATTGTGAGGAATAAAGACAGCGACTAACAACTAGTGATGATCGTGAGTTAAAAAACCCGAGAGTCGAGACCGAGACCGGGAATCAACCCCGAGACCGTTCGGCCGAGAGTCGAAACCAAGAGATTAGGCGGTAGCGATTAAATACAAATATATTGCTAAAGCATAAGCTTGTTGACGTTGGAATATTGTTAACCGACTTTTGCAAACCACACTTGCGGACCCGACATTTTTATTTAAAAAATTTCGATAAAAGTGTTCCTTCGCATTTAAAATTTAAATTAAAACAGCACCCGACTTTGGAATCAATGAAATTTTGCCATCATGCGTCAAAATAAATGACGTCATCAGTTGCAATTCCAATTATCCCTTGTGGGTCCATTCAAAGGATTTTGCCAAACATTTTTATAAAAATGAAACTTTTGGATTGTATTGCCCAATTGGAGCGAATAATTCGATGGACAAAGTTGCCGAAGCTGTTGTTACTCGTGTTAGGGATGGTTACAGAAACAAATGGACACTTACTTTTGTTCAGAAAAATGTCACCAATGATACAAAATGAGGGAGAAGAAGTGTTTGAAATGATGAGATTATTAAAGACAAAACACCCAACATTGTACTAAATGTATTTTTGTATACAGGCGACTCTCGATATAGCAAGCCAAAAGTGAGAAGGATTCGTTAAATTGAGTAGATATAAATCGAGAGTTGTATGATTTTCTGTAGTAACCAGTGTTCGGCACAGTTCGGTACTACCGCGGTTTAATCCAGTTATCTATCCATATCCCCTAATATCCCGCTCCTCGTTTCATCGATATCCTCCAATCCCCTGATATCCCACTTAATCCTTGATCCACGGATATCCTCGAATCCCTGCTATCCTTACAAATACACCATATCCTCCTTAATCCTTTTTTAAACTCGATATCCTTCAAAACTTTTGACTAATTAATTGTTTCGAAGTATACTCATCTCCTAGATTTAATGCTGTGTCAAATACATTCAATAAAAATGCTTAAACAATGATATTATCAGATATTTGTCATTTTACATTAGTATCGAAGTACCGCGGTACTACCGAAAATTTTTCGTCGGTGCTTTTCAATACCAGTATTTTTCGGTACTACTGGTAATGGTATTGGGAAAATCCATTTGCCGAACACTAGTTGTAACGCATCACCAACCTACTATAGTTAGCATTATTCTAAATGCTTGAACAATGGATTTATTTATATTTAATCAACATTTCACTAGATTTTGATAAATATTTATTAATCTGGCATAACAAAATTTCTTTTCGAGATCAGTTTTAGCAAATTTTAAGGCAAATTTTATATGAAAAATCAAATATAAATCTAACATGTGTTTAGATATAATTTGTAAATAAATTTATTCTGACCCCTTTTGTCTAAATTACATATCTATTGACAAGAGTAAGTATATTCATGTTAGTATATTCATTCTTATAAGTGAAATCATTATAATTTATTCTAGCAGCGGATATCTGCAAAAGCGAAACGATATACCGATCATTCGAATATATCATTCCTGGATAGGTAAAATCAAAGCAGTCAAATAAAATGAATCAAATAAACAGATGAATCAAATAAACGGCCCTATCTGAAAAAGGGTTCGATTCCACTTGTTTCACTCGTTCGATTCCACTTGTTCCTCGTTCGATTCCACTTGTTTCACCTGAGGCATATTCAAATGAAAGGACAGACAAAGCACACACACACTGACAGACAAAACACGAGTTTTTTCTGTCCGAGTCCGCCAGTGTTTTGTTTGTCTGTGTTTTGTGTCACCGTGTGCATCCGTGTTTTGTCTGTCCATGTCCCTCGTGTTCGTCCGTGTTTTGTCTGTCTGTGTCAGTCCGTATTTTGTCTGTCTGTGTCTGTCCGTGTTTGTCTGTACGAGTCCGTCCGTATTTTGTCTGTCCGTGTCCGTCCGTGGTCGGTCTTTTCTTCCTCTTTGAATCCGTCCATGTTGTTGTTGTGTATGGGCGTCAGCCCTTAAAGTGATTAGTATAAAAGCCCAGCCAATAGTTAGTTCTGAGTCTCAGTTTTAGTTCTTCTTCATACCCCAACCTTCGCCTGCTTTGTATTTCTTTGTGCAATAAACGTTTCTGTTAGCTTCCTCTACGTAACCGGGGTCGTAACAGATTTGGCGCGGTCGTGTTCAAAAAGAACCTGGTCTCGACAACAGTCTCGTCAACTTCAGTGAGTGCTCGTCAACGTAAGCTGTGTGCAGTTCAGAAAAAGAAAATCTGTGTGGACAATTGTAGTGTAGTAAAACCAAAAAGGTTAGTGAAATTGTAGTGTAAAGTGTAGTGATAAAAAGTTTATTTTTTAGTGAGTGCAAAATGGATGCAAAAACAGTGGAGAAATTGTTGAAGGCTCAGCAAGAGCACTTTGAGAAAATGTTAGTGAGGCTCTTGAAGCCGAGTGAGTGGAACGACACCGAATTGTACAGCAAATTAGTTGGGATGATTGGTGAGTTCGTTTTTGATTTGACGAGTGGTATGACCTTTGAGTCATGGTTGGGCAGGCATCGGTCCTATTTTGAGGTGGAGGGTAAAACCCTGCCAGAATCCTCTAAAGTGAGATTGTTGTTGAGTAAATTGGGGCCAGAAGAGTATGCCCAAATTGAAAGGAAAATGCTGCCAACCAAGTTGAGTGAAATGAAGTTTGACGAACTCTGTAGTGAGTTAGTGAAAGAGTTTAGTGATCATAGGTCCAAATTGTTGAAAAGGTTCGAGGCCTTAAATGTTAAGTGTAGTGACCTCCAAGATATTGTTGAGTTTGGGAATGTAGTGAATGCTCAATGTGAGCGTGCAGAAATGGCCTTGTCGATTGAAGAATTGAAAATTCTTATTTTTATTTCAGGTTTGCCTAGTGATGCTACCTCAGTTCGACAAGTCGCAATGAAAAGTGTTGAAAGTAAAAGTGAAAGAGGACAGGCAGTAACCTTGAAAGAAATTATTGAAGAGTGTCGGGCATATTTGGCAAATAAAAGTGAAGCCATGTATATTGTCAAGGAGAAAATTAGTGAAGTAAAAAAAGAAGTGCCGACAGTCAACACAGTGGAAAAAGTGAAATATTGTGAAAAGAGTGAAAGTGAAATTGGAAGTGAGTACAAAAAACAGTGGTCCAAACCAAACGTCAAGTATCAACAAAATGTTATTGAGAAAAAGTGCAGTCATTGTGGACGTTTTGGTCACTGGCGTATGCATTGTAAGTTCTTGAAGAATAATCAGTATCAGCCAAAAAGGCAGTGGAGTAATGATAATAATCATTCAGGTTCTCCATATTGTGCAATTCTGGACATCTTCGATCCAATGCAAAGTGTGGAAAAAGAAGAGTGGATAAAGCAAAAAGTGAAGTTTGGAGAACTTAGTGTAGAAATGATTGTAGACACTGCATCGCAGATCAATGTTGTCACCAGTGAAGTGTGGAAAAGTATTGGACAGCCAACAATTGAAAAAGTGAATTACAGTGGTGTTGGGCTGGGTGACAACAAAGTTGAAATTGAAGGAAAATTCAGAAGCAAAGTGAGAGTGAAAGACAAAGACGTCTTTATGGAGTTCCATCTAGTGCATAGTGAAGTGTGTATCTTAGGGTTGCCTGGATTGAAAGAAGTGTCAAGTCGGAACCAAAAGCCCAAGTACCAAAAGTGGAATAAAAAGAAGGCACCATTCAAGATACAGAAAAATGCTTTTCCGAACGGCACAAAAGTGAAAGTGAAGAATACCAATAAAAGAAGTGGTAAAATCGAGTGGCTTCATGGAGAAGTAGTGAGAAAGACGGAAAATGCATGGAAAATCAAAGTGTCAGAGTTGAAGATTATTGTGACCCGGACATTTAAAGAGATCCGTCGAGATGAGTGGAACAATAAAAAGAAATTGTTGAGTGAAGATATTCGGAATATGAATATTAGTGAAGAAAAAGTGTCCAGTGAAAGCAGTGTAACTTCATCGAGTGATAGCAGTGTGGACAACTCCAAGAGGATCAAGTCAAAGATGAAGGACAAAAGCGGGAACAATCCAAATATGAAAGATGTTGAAGACGATAATAATATGGAGACATAGATGAGCCACATATATAAAATTTTGTGATAATATTGTTGTTGTATATTTTTTTTGTAATGTTGTATGTATTTTTTGTTCCCATTGTCCTTATTCCCCCAAAATTATTGTATGTATTTTTTGTTTGTTGTTTGGCTGGAAAGTGTTAGTATATTGTAAAGCTTCGGCTTTAAGTGAAGCCGAACCTTTTTTTTAAGGGGGGAGGTGTTGTGTATGGGCGTCAGCCCTTAAAGTGATTAGTATAAAAGCCCAGCCAATAGTTAGTTCTGAGTCTCAGTTTTAGTTCTTCTTCATACCCCAACCTTCGCCTGCTTTGTATTTCTTTGTGCAATAAACGTTTCTGTTAGCTTCCTCTACGTAACCGGGGTCGTAACAGTTGTCTGTCCTCTTATTTGAATATGCCACAGGTAAAAAGAGTGGAATTGAACGAGGAAGAAAAGACTGACCATTATTTATATATTGAGGTAAGAAAAAAATGATGAAAAAAATCAAAGCGCCCTTTCAGATAGGGTCAAATAAACTATTTGATCGATTATATCGACCCGCCTTCGTCACCATCTGCACTACGTGCCATATAATCATTGGATTTTTTGGGCGCAATCAATTGCAGTTCCAAATGCTACCAATTACTTGCCATTGTAATGAGCCGTTCGCGGTTTCTCGTTAAAACGATTAAACTTATACATGCATGGCTTAATCTTTGAAATAAACACATCAGTTCAGGCAGGATCAACCAGATATCTTTTATTTAGGTAATTAGCAGAGCTGGAATTACCGAGGCTGCTGGCTATTAAGTTCTCATTAATGATGATTACATTAATAATTTTAGAGTCAAAATCCCGAAAATAAAATCTGAAAATAAAAGATTATTGACAGCTAATAAAATAATAAACTCCTTTGCAAAAGACATCTTAATAATTAATTATAATTATAGATTCACAAGTTATTATCGGCAAAATTCCTGACAATTGCCAGGAGCCAAATGTATTTCAGCGAGAATCAACAGAATGACAATAAAGTTTACAATAATTATGAACTTAAAATTTTTCAGAAAAATTTTGTTCATCCTACTGTTCCTCTCCACACGTATCTTAGACTTGCCCATTTTTTGTTTGCTTTAAAGCTTTCTCGCGAACAGCGAACATCGAATAGCCGGTGTACGGAATTTTCGTCTCTGGAACATTCGTCTCCAAGACTTTTCGGAACTTCCGTCTCCAACATTTTCGGAATTTTCGTCTCCAGCGGAATATTCGTCACCAAGGAAATAAACGGAATTTTCGTCTCCGCAATTTTCGTCTCCGTTAGGAATTTTCGTCTCCAGAGGAAAACTTTCCCCGTTGACGGGCAACTTCCCCCGTTGCCGGAACACTATACCCCGTTGACGGAACAACTTTCCCCGTTAATGGAAAACTATCCCCCGCTGACGGGGATGTTGTTCCGGCAACGGGATCAGTTGTTCCGCGCACTGGATTGAATGCGCCAAAGGCGATTTCAAAACCTCTAAAAAGAGGCTGAGTCGAATGACATGTAATTTGTCCCAATCAGAGTGTTTAGTATTCCGAAATTAACGCTTCATTGTGATATTATTACTGGGAATATTTTACTTTTATTGCCAGGACGAGAGGAAATTGAAAAAGCATGCATTAAAATTAAAAGAAAAATTGAAAATATTGGGAAAGAATTAAGAGATCTTGTTTGTCTACCGCTATACACGAATTTATACTTTAACAATCAAAAGATAAGTGTTTGTGTTTGAAACGCCAGAGTATGACAACCAAAGTGGCATACATAAACCGAAAATGCATAGTATCATTAAATATTGCGGAAACTTCAGAGACAAGATCCGACTTTGCAGATTAGCTTTAATGTAAAATTCAAGATTAAATCTAGATATAAATTAGAGGTCGGAACGGTATCGGGACCTGGTCCCGTTTCCCGGTTTCCCGGTCCTTTTTCCCGGCTTTTTTGAAAACGCCGGGATGAGACCGGGATCGGGAATTCCCGGGTTTCCCGGTCCAGGTCATGGCCGGTTAATTTTCATTTTGCGTACCCGTTCCCGATCCCGGCTTTTTTGGACCGGGAAAAATTTTAACAGCTAATTTTAGATATCTTTGCTTGACGTTTTGATTTTTGACTTAAAAATATTGGAGATTTTAGAAAAATTCTTAAAATTTTCGCCTGCGGCGCTGAAGACGGAAGAAATTTGGCTGTTTGGCCTTCCAAAATTCTCAAAATTTTCGCGGAAGAATTTGGAACGGAGAAATTTGGAGGTATTATTGGAGGAAATGTTGAGGGAAATTAATATCTATTTTGATTTTATCAAGGGACCTGGTGATTAAGCCATCATTATCCCTCTAAATCCATTAGATCTGCCTTAATCATTTGATATCATTTCCTTCCAATTGAAGGGATTTGAATATATATCAGGTGATATAGGTATAATATCCCACAATTATTATTTAGCCTCTCAAATCCCTTTAGCCCTACGTAATCCGCTTTATGTTTTAATTTATTGAATTTACATTTGATTTATTGATTTATTTTACTGATTTATTAAATTCTTCTATTTATAAATTAGATTTTTCAATAAATAACTATTCCGATAACTTTTTAAAATTTTTAAATGAATTTAAAATTTTTTTAATTTCCCGGTTTCCCGGTCCGGGTCCTGGTCATTTTTGACCGGGATGAAACCGGGAACGGGAATTCCCTATTTTACCGGTCCGGGTCCCTCCCGGTCGTCCTTCAGAACCCGTTTCCCGGTCCCGGTTTTTTCAAAATTCCGACCTTTAATATAAATCTAATCTCTCCTGTTCCATCCAAATTGGTGATATCCCCTTAATAGTCCATATTTCCTCGAATTACTTTAATTTTAACAAAATTAATATATTCAAATTCCCTCATGTCACCGTTACCTCTCTGGGTCAAGCCCAAATCCCTCGATCAAGCCCAGATCAAAGCTTCCTCTATTAACGCCAGAGGCAAAAATTTTGAGGATTTTGGAAAGCCAATGAGCCAGATTTTTTCTTATTTCAGCGCCTCTGCCCAAAATTTTGGGGAACTCTTTAGTCGGAAATATCATATGAAAATTATCGGAAATCGAAAATTTTTCCAAAATTTCGGAACTCGGAAATCTTAAAAAAATCGGAAACCCGATTCGATGCTTCTACCCTTTAATTCTTTGTATATTTAGCGCCTTCTCATTTATCATAATTTCTTACATTTTTTTTCATTATTTCATCATTTCCACTTTCATCATAATTTCTTCATCATTTCCTGTCATCCTTCTGGGTACCATAAGTCGAAACAGATGTACCATAAGTCGAAACAGACTTTGTCCATCAATTTTCATAAAATAATAAATTCATAAAATAATATAATATATTTTTAAAATTTAAAATTAAATAAATTAAACGTAAAAATTGAGTAGGAGAATTCGAAATTGGCTATTCGTCCGATCTCTAAATTTGACCTTACTAGCTTTGTTTACTTTTTTAGATTAGACATTTGTTTTTTTGCACTTTCATATTGCACTCTTTAAAAATCAAAGGGAAAATTTCAAAATCGAGGAAATTAAAAGGGCAAACTTAAAATAATATATTTTGTAAAAGGCAAATTTTACCGACATTTATGTCCACGTGACCGTCATATTATTTAAATTTCTTAATATTTTATTCCTTTTTATTCTTTATTAAAATTTATTTAAAAGCCCTTTATTTACTTAAGTTTTATTTTCAAAAAATTTTTCGAATAATTCTTGACCCCCATGAAGTTAAAAATACCCTTCGTTTTATTTCTTTTGCTGATTGTTGAAGGGATTGAATGTTGGTATTTTAAGTAAGGGATGTCCTTTCAAAGGGAAATTGTCTGAAAATCACAAGGACCCAAAAAGGGCAAATTTTAATATCCGGTTTGTAAAGTGCAAATTTAAAATACACTCATGAGCTTGTGACCGGCAATAAAAATTTCCTAATAAATTTATTTACTTTTTTGTATTCTTTATTAATAAAATTTGTTTAAAAGACTTTATTTACTACCCAAATATTCATTATTTTATTTTTAAAATTTTTTTTCGAGTAAATTTTCTTAACGTCTAAATTAATATTAAGTTAAAATTTTTTTTGAATGAAGTTAAAAATATTTTTTATTTTATTTCTTTGTTTGATTTCTGAAGGGATTGAAGGTGGGGGTTTTAGTGTTGCTATTCTAAAATGTAGATTACATACATTTTTAAAGGAGCGAATTTGCCTCAAAGTGTTGCTCCAATTCAACCAACTTCTTCAAATGTTGGGGAATTAGCTCCGGCATCGTATGAAAATGCTAATGGAGTAAAATACCCGAATGTTCCTTTCTATGGAAATCCAAAAATCACGCACAAAGGGAAAGTCGATGGTTTAGGAAAAGTGGATACTTCAAATAGATTTTCTGTTTTGCAAGGACTGACAGAAGAAAACCAAGATAAAATGTTTGGTAAATCTGAGATTAAGCCAAAAATTGAAGAGGAATGTGAAGAAGATTGTGAGGAAGAGTGTGTGGAGGAAGGTATTTATTGTTAAATTTGGCTCTCGCTTATCTATAATTTTTACACTTTTAACCCCAATTTAAACTTTTTACCCCCGAATATCTTTAATGATAACAAAAATCAAAAAAATTAAGTTGTGATTGATACTTCTCAGCTTAATACAAAACAAGCAAGGTTATTAGTTAAATTTTAACTAAAATAAACATAAAATTCAACAGTTCTGCTATCAAAAAACCCAACAGGAAATTATTACAATATGAAAGAGAGAGACCTTCTTATAAAGAAGATAGGCCAAATTTTAGTGATAGGACTAATACTTGTTGTTGCTGCTGTCCTAACTGGGTTAAAGTTATTGTTATTGGTGCACTTACTCTTCCAGGATTACTCTTCAATTATTCCGGAAACGTAATGGACTGCAAAATATGTAAGTATTAGAGATCAGATTTTTGAAAAGCCTGGGCCTATTCCTAGGTACCGGGTTTGATTTATTAACCTGGGCCGAGTTTTGGGCCTGCAGTCAGGAGAAACCCAGGCCCAGCAAAAACTCAGGAATATCAAAAAATGCCTGGGCCTGGAATCTGAGTACAGGAAAAACACAGGCCTTGGTCCAGGCCCAGCTCGATCTCTAGTAAGTATACTAGTTAGACCCAGCTATAAGATAAATAAAAATTTATAACAGCCCCCGACTTTGGAATTAATCGAAATTTGCCATCATGCGTCAAAATAGATGACTCCATCAGTTGTAATTCTAATTATTTTTTGTGGGTTCATTCAAAGGATTTTCACAAACATTTTGATAAAAATGAAACTTTTGGATTATATTGCCCTATCGGAAAAAATAATTCAATGGACAAGGTTGCTGAGGCTGTCGTTACTCGTGTTAAGGATAAAGTAAAAGGAAATGGACTCTTACTTTTGTTCAGAAAAATTTCACCAAAAATGGAACGAAAGCTTGAAATGATGAGAATATTAACGACAAATGTCCAGCTTTGAAATAAATTGTATTTTTGTACACATCCAATATAAGGACACATTTTAGTAATTCTTCGTTTAGACTCCCAATATTTCCCTTAATCCCTAACCATTTTGATCATAATATCATTCAAAAGAGCTTTTCGAGCTGGGTAGAATGATACTAATATCGGTAGATTTGGACATATTTAACAAAATTAAGAATCTGGACTTCTCTGTGAAAGCCTTTGTTCTTCTGCAAGGGAAAACAAGTGATCATAACTTTGTTCAGTAAAGTCGGATTTCGTTTATTATAGTTCCATCCGACTCGGGTCGGGAAGCTCTTTCGAATGATATATAATTATTTGTAACAAGATAACAGATGCCGCAAAGGAATTTAGAAAAATGGTGGGGGTCTAACCTAAGAATTACCCACATATTAAATGTAACTTAAGTTGGCGGTTTCGTATTGGAGCCGGGAAAGTCAGGATATCTTAAATTTTTGTATAGATACTGATTGTATATCCAAAGATTTTCCAAGAACCGCCGACTCTTTCTATTTCTGATTTGATTCTATATTTAATTTTATATTTAGTTTAGTCTAAAAATCCGATATTGTTGACCCTCGGATTTATTTTTATCTAATCGACTTTTATTCCCTCGATTTTGATAAAAATTATATTTAAAAATTAATTTTGTATTATGATTTCTAAGGCAAATAATTGAGGAGTTTAGTTGAAGAAAAATGTAGAAGAGGATTTGAAAAGTGATTTTTTGTTTATTTTCATCACCACCTTTACTTCACTGCCTTATGATGGTCAGACTTTTTCCTACGTTTCTTATGATTCGTGGAGATCGGCTTCCGAAAAAGTCCTATATCTGGAAATCTTTGTTGAATCTCGGACGTTATATCCGGAGACTTTAATCCGGCAACTTTAATCCCTCCAAGCCCCTTACCCATTTTCGTACTTTGCTCATATTCTGCCCCTCACCCACACCTATTTGAATCTCAGATTAATTTTCCTTCTTTACCAATCTTCATTTAAAAATTTGTATTTATTATAAACGAAATTTGTTTATTTGAAAGAAGGAACGCCCGCCTCTTTTTTAAAAAAATCGACGTTCATTTTATGTAAATAGGCAATGAGAAAAAGAAAACGGGGAAATTAACTTGCAAATTCAAAAATTTCCTTTTCTAACATTTATTTGCCACTCCTTTATTTTTTTATTTAGATGACCATCCTAAAATTTTCTACCTATTTTCTTATTTTTTTGTTTAAAAAGATTTCTCATTCAATTTAATTTCTCATTTTTTTGTTTTTATTTTTCATTTATTCAACAAACTTTCATAGGGGGACACGCCCAAGTAGGCGCGTGGCCATAACGGCGCAAAGTCATAATTTGCTGGAAAATTTCTGGCCCTTATCAATTTTGGTACCAAATTCGGGTATTGTGACTTATAGGGGGTTTTTTTTGGCTGGACCGATTTGGACAAATGAGGTGTCATTCGAAAGAGCTCGCCGAGCTGAGTCGAACTAGGGGCGAGTGGAGTCGATCCGACAATCAGGGACCGAGATACAGACCCCTGAAGTTTGAAAAAGAGAAGGGGGGAGTAAGCTCATTTTGAGGTGAAAAATTCGAAAATGCAAATAATAGCTTATTCGACTCAGCTCGTCGAGCTGAGTCGAATGACACCAAAATCACCGAGAACCGACTTGATTTGACAAAGTTATGATCGTTTGTTTTAGCTCCTTACCTATGGTCATTGTTGAGGTTTTTGCTGCTACGGAGGCCCAAATACGCCCAGAGCAAGAGAGATAGGAATAGGTTTATGTTACTGACCCAGACCCAGCGACCGTTGACTCCCCGCGAGGCGCGTGACGCGAAACCCCGCGCGAAGCGCGGGGTTTCGCACAAGCGCCTCGCCGACGCTCCATAGGTTTATGTTGACCATTTTGAACCTGTTTATCTTGGCTCAAAATCAAGATATCGAGCTGATTTTGGTGTCATTCGACTCAGCTCGACGAGCTGAGTCGAATGAGCTATTATTTGCATTTTCGAATTTTTCACCCCAAAATGAGCTTACTCCCCCCTTATCTTTTTCAAACTTCAGGGGTCTGTATCTCGGTCCCTGATTGTCGGATCGACTCCACTCGCCCCTAGTTCGACTCAGCTCGGCGAGCTCTTTCGAATGACACCTCATTTGTCCAAATCGGTCCAGCCAAAAAAAACCCCCTATAAGTCACAACATTCCCAAATTCTTTAGCTCGATAAGTGGAATCGTTTAATATTAAATTTGGAAAGCTTCGAAAATTTGAGGCAAGTTATGGCTCTGCGCCGTTAAGACCGCGCGCCTATTTGGGCTGTACTTTTCATAGGAATTGCGATCCCTTACATCCAAGACTTCGACTCATGAACACACCTAAGCTCAAATTTTTCTTGTCAAAAAATGTGCTGAGATAATTATCCGTGTCGGGCTAACTAACGGAACGGACAAGTCGCGGAATGACCAAAACACGGAATAATTTAAAAATAGGAATTTTTTGGAAAATTTGAATATTTTTAAAAAATGAGACTTTTTTAACAAATTAGAATACTTTAAAAAAACAACTTAAAATTCTGAAAATCTATGATTACTAAAAATATTCTGTTTCTAAAAATATTCCGTGATTTGGCCATTCCGTGAGTTGTCTGTTCCGCGAACTGTCTGTTCCGTAAATTCTAATTCCTCGAGTTAACATCCACCCAAAATATCACTAAAATTACTCAAAAATAGTCCACATTTTGCTTCTCTTTAGTTTATCTCAAAAAAATTTTTTCCCTATTTTTTAGACAATTAAAAATGTTTTCTCTTCCAAACCAAGCAAAACTTGATGTATTAAAATGTCTCAATTTTAATCAATTAACTTCTTTTAAACAAACAAATATTTACTTTTACAATTTAATCAACGAAAATGAGCAAGAATTGTGCTATAGAATGAAATTCAATAAACTTTCAATTGTAAACATTAACTGGTACTTTATGGATATATCACCCTCCCCTATTTTGAGTCTCAGAGTTTTACTTAATATATTTTTTTTAATTTCCTTGATTTGGTGACATTGCAAAAAAATATAATCATTTTCTTTCTAATATCTCACATTTGAATAAGCCACAGGGAAATAAATCGAAATTGTGGAAGTAAGAAAGTCTGGTCATTATTACATATTAAGTAAAACTCATGAGACTCTAACAAGGGTGGGGAGGTGATATATCCATAAAGTATCCATTAACTTTTAATTTCTTTAAAAAATTTAATTTTAGAATGATAATCTTCAAAAATTGGACTCATATGAATTGCTTGAACCTGACCCCGAAGTTGTTGGATATATACTGCCAGCCTTTTTTAAGAAGAGGGTAAAAATTAAATTCTGGGTTTTTCCTTTTAATGTCCAGAAGGGTACTTGTGGCTTATCCCATACTAGTATTTACGAATATTTTTGTAAGGACTGCTCGTCTCCTTCTCGGTTTCATTCAATTTACCCTGTGTATAGATTTAACAAGAAACAGCTGAGCGAAAATTTCGTCTTGTTTTAACGTTGGGGGAGTGATACTTATTTGGTTCTTCCAGTCAATTTTCTTGTTTAAGATGTAAAAAATAAAGTATGTATAGATAGATAACCCCGAGCTGAGTCGAGTCATACCAAAATCGTCCGTTGGGACATCATGAACTGAGCTACAGGGGTTTAAAATTTTAGAAAATGTCCGCATAAATTTGTCCTCAAAAACTGTATAGATAACCCACAAGTACCATTTTACTTTTAATTTTTTTTCAGTATCAGAACATTATAAACAGACTCGTTCCCGTATTTTTATATTATTATCAAAACGTTTCTTCATCTCCCAGCAAGTTCTATGTTTGTATTGAGAGGACCTCTGAGTATTTATTGGACAATGAACCTCGTTATTATATCATTAAATTGCCAATCTTTCCAAAAAATGTCGAAAAAATGGTTATTGTTGGTTACTGGTTGGAGCAACTTTCCGACTGTGTTTTTGAATTTGCCTCATTTGACGGAGTTGTGTTTAATCCAGAATTAATTAATTTATTGTTTGACAACGACAAACTTTTATTTCACATTCAAAAACCGAAAATATCCTCCAACGAGGCTTCTTTTGGAAATGTTTGGAAATTTGTTTCGAATCATTTGACAATTTCGGAATATCTCAGCATCAATTTGAATGACATTAATGTGCAACGTTTACACGGTATTTTAGTAAGTGGAGGCAATAAATTACCAAAAATTCGTGTGAAAAATGTTAAGACGGGATGGCTTTATAATTCTTTAATCAAAGTGAGTTTAAATTAGGGGAAATATAATACATACCGTAAATACTCTAATAGAAGCTCTGGACTTGTATTTTTCATTGGGTCTCATCAGATGGGCTAGAATTAGAGGTGGGCGTCTACAAGAGGTGGGCTTCTATTAGAGTAACTAATGTGGCACATTTTTTCTCATTTTTTTCATTCCCAGAAAAAATGAGGCTGAAGTAATTCATTCTACTTATTTCTGCAATAATATGGCTCAAAATTAGGTTTAGGAAAAAATTAGTTTTTTAATTCCACTTTCTCAAGAGTTGGAAAATTCCCCTTTTTATGCTGACATAAAGTCTTTGTTTTTTTTTGTTTTTGTGTTTCCAAAAGTGGGTATATCTCGTGCTCATATCCCGTTTCTTTTATGAGATCTCGATAACTTTAGAATCAACGTAAAACAAGATTAAGACTAGAATAAATTTTCTACACCTTATCTATTATTTTGAATTTTTGTTTTATGCTTTCTGAAAGCCCTTGAAATTAGCCCTCGAATTCACTCAAATTTAGCATTTAATCTTGTTTTACCGTAAAATTCATTGACGGGATACAGACCGTTAATTAATTCAAATTAACTCAATTTAAATTTAAGCATATATCAACAGCCAAAGATTGTTCAAAAATGCTGGCTAATATTACCTTACATTATTCTTCGCCTACAAAATTTGAATTAAATGAAATGGCTGAAGAGGTTGAGATTACTGAACAATTAAATGGAGTTAAATATACAAAATATCAACTTGAGAATATTCACAATCCAAATGTGAGATTCTCATTTTGCAATGAAGAAGGGAAGGATGGAAAGATTGTTTGTGTTAAAGTAAGAAAGATGGAGGCTTAGAAGAAGTTGAGATGAAAAATATAAAGTTTTTGATTATTGGAGAAATAAATATTTTTAAAAATTTTTTTGTTTTTTCGTTGACTTTTCCGATTAAATTTTTTTGTTTTTTAAAGTTATCTTCATCATATTTTTATTAGTTAATGCTAATTTATTTTTAAATATTTTTAATCACATTTAAAAAAAGTTTGGCTTTAATTTAAAGTCAAAATTTTCTTTTTCAGTGAAAAAATGGCTGCTGGGTAATTAAGCTGTCATTAATATTGATTATTGATAATTTTAGAATAAAATCTCGAAAATAATCTGAAATTAAAAATTAATGACAGCTTATTATATATTTAATTCCCTTTGCAAAAGATATCTAAATTATTTACAATTTATCAGCGGCACTTTCACAAAAGTTATCGATGGCAATTCCTGACAATTGTCTGGAGCCAAATAAATATTGCAGCTGGAGAAAAATTAGGATTATAAAGCTTATGATTATTATCAGATTTAGAATAAAGCTGCTTTAAAATAAACTGATAATAAAGCTTAATATAATAATAACATTAAATTTTTTAAAAAAATAAAGCTTATAATAATAAACTTTAAATTTAAAAAAAGATTAAAGTTTATTATTATAAGCTTTATTTTTTTTTAAAAATTTAATTCTTTGTCAAAAGAAATAGGATTCTTGGTTTCTTTTGATTTAAAATTTCTTCTTTTGAAATTTTAGTATAACTTCTTTTAATTAAAATTCCTCTTTCTTGGAATTCTAATGTAAATTCAATTTAATTAAATTTTTAATTTTTATCCAACAAAATAAATTAATTTAAAGCTAAAACAATTTAAAAAATATTGGACGATTAAAAGTGAGAGAGAAGACTTTGATTTTTATTGTAAAAATATAAGAATGAACACCAAAAAGCTGTTTAGTGATTTATTTTATAACAGCAAAAAGGAGATGGAGTTTTTAGTGTAATAGCCATTTTTTATTATAAAATGGAAAGATGAAGAATAAATGGAAGAGGAACAATTTATGAGTAATTGAAACGATAAAAGGGAGCATTAGAAAAATGAATAATAAAATTAAAGATAAATGTTTAAATGTAAGGGGTTTTATGGGAAAATAAAATTTTTATAGATTTTTATCTTTAATTTACACTTTAATCTTCTTCGGTCTTTCGACGTTTTTTCTTCGACATGGCAATAGTCGAAACACTCCCCCTCTGAGAGTTATTTTGGTCATCGGGAGCATGAGCATTTTCAGGAGTGACCACTTGTTCCTCAATCCACGCTTCTGAAGATTTTGTATCTTCAGTGATCCATTCAGCTTCGATATAAGGAGTGCCAAATTTTTTCCGTGCGTAGGTTGTAGCATCTAAAGAAGTTATAAATTGTGGTTCAGCATTAATCTTACAAATTGTCTGAGCCAAATGATTATAAGCTCTTTTTAACAAAATTTCTGTTGTTAATCTTTGAGCTGTTTCACCAGCAGAGAATTGTGAAACTCGTACTGAACCATCTAAATTTAAATTTTCCAATTTATTTTTCAATTTATTTAAAGAACGTTTTTTCTTGTTTTTGACTTCTAAAAAATGTTCTTTGTAATCAACTACTTTGATAACATAGAGTTGATCAGATTTAACATATTCTTTTTCACAGTCAGTCATAGTTTCAGGTTTGGTGAAGCTTAAAGAAAAAGTGTTATCATTATTTAAGAACCACTTATCATACATGGTTCCTTTGAATGTATCCAATTTTATATAATTACATCTTTGATTCTCTTTTGGAGAATTCCAGATGAGTACAGAATTATCCTTTAACACACATTCGTTTTCAGAAAGTTTACAGTGTGCCAGTTCCAACATTGGATTTTCAATTGATTCCTGATTAGGGAAAAAGAAAATATTTATTTTTGTTAAAAAACAATTAATTACGGAAGCTTCTTTTCCGCCAGAAAAATATTCAAACTTTGGTTGAATTATATTTAATGTCCTTTTTGAATCATCATCTCCAATTAAAAGATTATTATTTGCATCTGAACATTTATTTAAATGTTTCATCTTCAAGCAATCTTCTTTTGTGATCGCCAGATCGATTTTCTGAATAGGAGAAATAATTTTATAATTTAACCAATTTGTATAATAGGTTAATTTTTCCATTACTTTTGTGCAGTGCCATCCAGAAATTGATGGAGTGGCATCTCGAGCTCTATAAACTTCCAGACTGACATCTTTTATCGTTTGTCGTTCATGAACAAACAGGTCTTGGCAATGCTCCGTTGGATGGCCTATATGATATATTTTAGAATTAATGCCATGTGGGCATATCATGGGTTCATTACCTTTTATTAAAGGAACAAACAAAACGAGTCCAAGCACCAAAATCATGATCATAGAGACAAAAGAAAGTCTATCTACGATATTGAATCGTCTGGTGTTTCTGATTGGGCTAATATCCTTTGAATAATTACTTCCTCTCCAACCTCGGTGTTGTCCTCTTTTATAAGAATTGGAACTTCCTCTTTTATAAGAATTGGAGCTCCCTCTTGATGTACTTTGATGGTAAGAATAAGTATTATAATTTTTTACACTTTGCTCTTCATCTTCAGATTCATCATAATATAATTTAATATTTTTTTGAGACATTAATCGAGGTTCTATTCCTTTTAATTTTTCAACTATTCCATCAATTCCTTTTGTTGTTATTGTTCCTTCATTATTGATTAATTTCATTTTAATCGCTTCTTTGCTTCCAATTTCGTTGGAAATATATTTACCACCTTTTGTTGTCCTACCTTTATTTTGAAGGTAGATATTAATTTTTTCCCAATAATTTATAGCGTTGATATTAAAGGGCGGCGGTAATATTATTGTTGTTCCGATTTTTTCGGCACAATTTTTAAAAAAGTCTTCTAAATGCATTTTAAATGCTTCAGGATGACCTCCTTGATTTAAATAATCATTTCCAATCCAAATAATAATTATTAATTTATTTTTCGGATTTAAGAATATATTGTCGTTAAATATATATTTTACTTCATTTAACGGTGCTGGAACGATACAATAACATTGGTGGAATATTTTAGTCAAGAATTCAGCATTAGAGTCCCCAACAATAATTACTTCATTTAATATTGTTTTTGCTCTTGGGAAGAATTCAATACTTCTCATATAAGTTAGAGAGTTTTCCACATTTTCAATTATTTGTAGAATTATTTCATGCTTTTCTTCATTCATTTTATTTTGACCTCTCAAATGAACTGGCAACCAAGGCCTAGTGTCGAATGATTCTTCAGCCATCTCGCAGGCTGCCTTCCAAAGGCTTAAAGCCGGCTTAATTTTCCGAGGCCGAAAATCTTCATCTAATTTCCCTTTCGGGTAAATTTTATTTGAATTATTTTCAATGATTCGAATAATATGTGCTGGTCGTTGAGCCTTCAAAATTTGATCCACTAATTCCATCCCAGCTTCTACTGAGATGGTTTTTTCATTTTTGTTTTTCCACCAATCTTTTCGAATTTTGGTCAAAGCCCAGAAGCACAAAATTACTTGTATGAGAGATTCAACTGTTTTACTAAGTAGAGCCGAATAATCTTCTTTTATTTCTTCTTTTCTTGCAAGATCGATTATGTTGCCTAATTTTATTGAAGAACAATTTTTGTGTCGTTGTGTACCTGGTGAACAACCGTACATAACCGACCAACCATAATGCAAAAGTGCATATCCCTCGTTTTCTTCTTTAATATTATTATCCTTAACCGACTGTTGGTCAGTTTTTTCTTTAATTTTATTTTCCGATGGAGGTTTTGGTAGTAACTTTTCCAGTCGGGATGTGCAAACAACTGCCTGATTAGGAATTACTTCTTTAATTACTTCTTTTTGTGGTAATTTCTCTTTTTGCACTTTTGACACAAAGGATTTTAATCGATCATTCAGATTACGTTCATCGTGTTTAACGACTTTATTTGGTGGTTCTTCAACTACATCATTTTTATTAATTAAATTTTCGTGTTGTTCATCATAGTCCAAAGAAGCTTCTGATTTTCCTTCTTCCATTGGCCTGCAAATTATAATATTACAAAGACATGTATTAATTTTATTATTAATTTTTAAATTTTTATTTTTAGATTTATTTTCAACAATTTGTTCGTTTCTTTCAGGTGTTATTTTTTCTTGCCCATTTATTTCAAAACAGAACAAATCATTGACGGCTCTTCGAGTTTCCCCGTTTTTTGTCTTTAAAACTGCAGTTCTTCCTCCTGGAAGTAATTTTTCGATTATGCCCAACTTCCATATTCCTCGATTTTTTATATCATCATCTCTGATGATAACAACATCTCCCAGTTGAGGAGAATTTTCTGCGGTTTTATCATTTTTGACAAAATTTTTCCTTTCGCGAAGCGCTAGTAAATATTCATTAGACCATATTTTCCAAAACAGGTCTAATCTGTTAGATACCAGTTTTAATTCTTCTACTAATTTATCTTTATTTTTTATTTTTTCAGGTAAATAATCGGGGTCCTCAACATCTACTTTTGGTAAATGTGGGAAATCTGCGTTACCTTCTTCGTAAGGGATAAGAAAGTCTAATGGCCTTAATGACCTTACATGCTCTGAATCGGGTAGAAAGTTTAATGGCCTTGAGTTAACAATTGTTTGTATCTCATTAATTAAAGTACGAAATTCATCTTCGAACAACAATTTTTTACCAATTGTTCTTTTTAATGAATACTTTATTAGTCCGACCATCCTTTCTACTAGCCCATTTTTCCAAGGTGCTCGTTCAGTAACGAAAATCCAATTAATTTCATGATCAGACGCATATTTTTGGATTTGATTTTCTTTCCAAATACTTGTAAGAACCTTTTCAGCGGCCTTAAAGTTAGTTCCATTATCAGATATCATCAATTTAGGCTTTTTGTGTTGAGCTATAAAGCGTCTAAATGTATGTAGGAAGGCTTGCGCCGAAAGATCCTCAGCTACTTCAAGATGAACGGCGCGGGTACTTGTGCAAGTATAGACCGCAACCCATCTTTTCTGATGGTCCCCATTAGTTGTTTTTATAGTCACATGTCCAAAGTAGTCAACCGCGGAATGCATGAATGGGCGAAATGGATTTACACGTTCGATTGGTAAAGTTGGAAATTGAGGTTGCGCGTACGGTTTAATCCAATATCTTTTACAGATTTGGCATTTTTTCACACACCTTTCAACTTTTTTCCGTGTTATCCAATATTTTTGTCTCATTGTGGCAAGAACGACATTGGTTCCTGAATGAGCCATTTTTTCATGTGCTTCTATTATAATCAAATCGGTTAGAGATGAATTTTTCGGTAACCAAATGGGATATTTTGTTTCTTCATTTTGGTTACTTAATTCTATTCTTCCTTTACACCTATAAATATTTTCATTGTCTCTAAACAATTGAAGATTTTGAATTGTATCTTCTGATGGAGGATTCATTTTTTGACTTTCTCTTATCAGAAATTGTTCAGCTAATTCCATCTCAGAAGGTTTGGGATAACAAGCTTTTGTTTCCATTACTTCCTTTATTTTTATTAAATTTTCATTTTTAGGGTTATGCTTTTTTATAACCTTTATTTTAATGGCTCTAAAGATGTAGACAATAGTCTTTTTTAGTTTTTTAAGACTAGAGAATCGATCAGGTTCAACCAAATAAGCGTCTTCCTTTATTGGCAGACACATTTCATGAAATGGTTGAGGGTTTAATTTTTCTACCCTTTCACCCGGCACATATTCGAGTTCTGTTTTGGGCCAATTTTTCTCTTCTTCATGAAGAAATTCAGGTCCTTTGAACCATAAGACATTATTGGCTAATTCGCTCGGAGGAATTCCCCTACTCGTCATATCCGCCGGATTTTCCTCGGTTCGGATGTATTTGACCGTATTTTTTCGAATAGGCCTTAAACGTCTTTCTATGAATGGTTCTTGCTCTGATGTGCTTTTTAGCCAATGAATGACTATTTGAGAGTCAGTCCATAGCGTCATTTTATTAATTTTTATATCGAGCATATTTTCAACATACTCCAACGCTTTTGTGGCTATTAAAGCGGCGTGAAGTTCCATCCGTGGAATCGTTAATTTTGCTTCGCATTTGCCAATTTGCGCTTTAGGCTTTACTCGGCTTTTAGCGAAAATCAGAGTCGATTCGATATCCGCACCTTTTTGAGAGCGGAGATAGATCGTGAATCCTAATGCCTTGTCTGAAGCATCGGAAAATGCGCATAATTGGAAATTTGTCTGTTTTGTCAATTTCCAAGAAAGCACTCTTCTAGGAATTTTTATAATGCTACAATTTAAATATTCGGTGGCGATTTCTTCCCATTCCTTTTTTAAATCTTCAGGTAAATCATTGTCCCAAGGAAGGTTTGCTTCCCATAATTTTTGCATCAACCATTTTCCCTTTAGGAGAGCGGGTGAAATGAGGCCGCAAGGGTCAAAACATTCAGCGATAGTTGCTAGTACTTTTCTTTTTGTCCATTGCTTTTCCTCAGTCATTTTTGGTACAGGGAGTTTTAAAGATAGTGCATCATAGAATGTATCCCAAATTATTCCTAGTATTTTTTGTTTAGCGCTTGAATGTAAGTTCGTTGTTCTCGCTTCTATAGGAAGCTTATCAACAGGTATAGCATTCAATTGTTTGGTCGCGTTAGTAAATATTTCACGAAAGTTCCATCCGGCTTCCTGAAATATTTTTCGCGCCTCCAAGATATCCTTTTCAACATCAGATTTTTCTTCTGCTCCGATTAGGAAGTTATCGACGTAACCTGCCTTTTTTAATTTATCAGCAGTTGAGCTATCATATTTTGCTAAATGATAGTCTACCGTCATTCCTAAAATGGAGGGAGAACAATTAACGCCAAAGGTTACTCGGGCATATCTGAATATTTTCAAATCCTCATCATTTTGGGACGAGGCTGGTTTTTTAACGTCCTTAACCCACAAAAATCTAACGCAATTTCGGTCTTCGTGTCGCAAGCTTATTTGTAAAAAAGCTGCTTGCAAGTCTCCTGCTATTAGATACGTGGGCAGACGACATCGCATAAGTAATCCGCATAAATCTTGTATTGTTACGGGGCCTTGGTGTAGACAATCGTTAAGAGAGGGATTATCCTTCCGGCTTTTTCCGCTTGCATTAAATACGATCCGGAATTTTGTAAAAGTTTTATCTTCTCTTACAACCGGAAAGTGCGTCAAATAGTGGATTTGTCCACCATCATCTTGGTTTCTTGGTATTTCTTCGATGATTCCTTTTTCCACTTGGTCCGCGAATGTCTGTTCATAGAGCGCCAAATGATGTGGATTTTTCTTTTGTTTATCTTCTATTTGATTTAAAAGCATCGATTTAGCCATTCGGTAATTGCTAGGCAGTTTTGGACAGGGATCTTTCCATAACCAGCCAGCTTCATACCGTCCATTTTTAAAGGTTAATTTCGATTCAAATTCATTCCTTATTTTTTCATCTAATTTTTGATTAGATATATCATTTATTCCTATACTGTCTAAGGAATATAATTTTTCTAATTTATCCTCTAAAGTGTCATTGCCAAAATCATCCTCTTCGGTAATAACGACATTTGATCTATCAATTGAGGGAAAATTTTTATTATTGGAAATTTGTCCTTTTCCTCCAATTATGGGACCAATTGCGCTATCAGCGAGCCAAAGTCCACAATTCAATTTTTTCTTGCGAACTAAGTTTAGATCAAAGAAGTATTCCACCCCTAATAAAACATCAGGCTCAACTAAAGAATGAGGTATTTTATTAGATTTTAGATCTATATCATTTTCATCTTCAGGTGTTAAGACTGCAGGCATTTGAGAAATCAAACTGTTCAAATTGTCTAACTGGCCAACTTCAACAATCAATTGTCCTTTGGAATGTTTTTCTATTCCTAATCTGAATATTTCAGCATTAAATTCAATCACTGGGGAACGATTAGCAGGAAAAGGTTGGATTCTTTGAACTTCTTTTTGAGAAGTTTGCAATCCTAACTTTTGAGCAATTCCCTTCCTGATATAAGATTTCTGCGAACCACAGTCGATGAAAACGATTCCTTTATAATTTTTGTCTGGATTAGATGGATTGAATAGAACAGCTTCTCGGCAAAGTAGTATTCTTTTTTGTCGAGGCTTTCGTAAAATAGCAGAATTTTGTAAAACTTCTCCTTCTATTTTAATATTATTTTCTTTATTTTTGTAAGTTTCTTCACATAAAGCTGTGTTGTGTTTTTCTCTGCAGTGAAAACATTTAATCGGTTTTTTACAATTTCCTTCGTGTTCGGGTTTTATGCAAAATAAACATCTTTTTAGTTCGATTAATTTCTTGCGTCGCTCTTTAGCGGAGTTAATTTTTCGACATTCATCTCCCCAGTGGTTTTTCTTTCCGCAAAATATACAAGGGTATATTGGTGAACGTCTCCCCCCTTCAATTTTGTTTTTATCTTTTTCCTTCTTATTTTTTACTTCAACATTAGCAAGAGTTCTATTTAACTCTTTTTCTCTATTTTTGTTTGAATTTTTTGGTTCACTTCTATTTCCACTTTTTTCAGGTATTTTTCCATGAATTGAAAGGACTATTTCTTCCTTTTCAATCACTTCCCTGAGTGCTTTTCGAAATGCTTCAGTGTTCCAATTTATATTCATTGTTTTTGCTAATGCCTTCTTTGTTTGCATTTCTCTTAAAATTGGGATTGTAAGCTTTTTTTCTAAGCTCATCCAAACTCCTTGACCATTTATATTTTGATCATTGTTTTCTAAGAGTCTGCATATCCTTTCAAGTTCTATTGCAAACTTTCTACAATCTTGAAAATTTTGGCACACAGCTAAATTTTCAAGTTGTGAATGTAGATTTCTCGTATAGTCTTCTTCATTGCCATATTTCTGTTTAAGCAATTCTATGGCTATATCGTAATCAGTTAATTTTAAGCCTGCTATTAACTGTTTTGCTTCTCCAATAACACACTGCTTGAGTACAGCATGTTTAACTTCATCGTTTCCTTCAGCTTCATGAACTGTAGCATTATAGATTTGCCACCATTCAGGCCAATCTATATGCCTTCCTGAGAATTTCGAGAGTTCTTGTCTCGGTGGTTTAAAGCTAAAACCAAACGACTTTTGGCCGTTGGTATTATTCATCGTCAGATTCTTCTCTTTCCTTTCTTCTCTCCTTCTAATTAATTTTAATTTCCTTTCTGATTCTTTTAATTTTCTAAGCCTTTTTCCAGCTTCATTTAATGTATCATCAATTTTATATAGATTAGTCGCTTCATCATAAGCAGCTTCATTTAGTGGTTTTTCAATTTGAGTACTTCTTTGTATTAGAGATGACCATTTATTATTTGCCTCTTTTAAATCATTATAGGCGTCCGTCATCTCTTCTATGTCATTATTTAACAAATCCAGTGTTTCACAAACTTCTAATAGGTAGTCTGGATTTTCTTCTTCCTCCGGTTCTTTTGGAACCGGCTGGTCCAAAATTATCTGTATACTTTCAGCCGCTCTTTTTGTAGCGGATTTTAAGGGCTTACTCATTTTTATTTTTATTAAATTTTTCTTTTTAATAAATTTTTATTTCAAAATTTCTTTTTAATAAATTTTTCTTTTAAAATTTATTAACTTACAAATTTTTTTCCCAACAATTCTAAACAATTTTTCCAATAATTTGACCAAAAATTCCAATATTTGAATTAAAGTAGCACAAAAACTTTTTTTTTTTTTTTTGTTTCCACAATAATTTCAAATTGTTGTTTCCACAATTAGAATTAATTAATTTCTTTTTAATTAATTCGATTAATTTCTTCTAAAATTAATTAATTTCTTTTTAATTAATTTTGATGAATTTTGTTGTTCGGTTGTCGTTTTAGGCTTGAGCCCCCATGTCAAAAGAAATAGGATTCTTGGTTTCTTTTGATTTAAAATTTCTTCTTTTGAAATTTTAGTATAACTTCTTTTAATTAAAATTCCTCTTTCTTGGAATTCTAATGTAAATTCAATTTAATTAAATTTTTAATTTTTATCCAACAAAATAAATTAATTTAAAGCTAAAACAATTTAAAAAATATTGGACGATTAAAAGTGAGAGAGAAGACTTTGATTTTTATTGTAAAAATATAAGAATGAACACCAAAAAGCTGTTTAGTGATTTATTTTATAACAGCAAAAAGGAGATGGAGTTTTTAGTGTAATAGCCATTTTTTATTATAAAATGGAAAGATGAAGAATAAATGGAAGAGGAACAATTTATGAGTAATTGAAACGATAAAAGGGAGCATTAGAAAAATGAATAATAAAATTAAAGATAAATGTTTAAATGTAAGGGGTTTTATGGGAAAATAAAATTTTTATAGATTTTTATCTTTAATTTACACTTTAATCTTCTTCGGTCTTTCGACGTTTTTTCTTCGACATGGCAATAGTCGAAACATCTTCAAAAAAATTTTTTTAATCCTAATTTTCCTCCCACACATTTTTATAATTGCCCATTTTCTTTTTGCCTTAAACCATTCCAGCGAACAGCGAACAACAAATAGCCCCGCCCACTTTGCCTTAGAGAATTTTTTCTTAAATATTGAGAAATTGAAAACACAGTGATTACGACCATACCGCGTTGAAAGCACGCCATCCCGTCCGATCTGGCAAGTTAAGCAACGCTGGGCTTCCTTAGTACTTGGAACGGAGACGTCCTGGGAATCGGGGGTGTCGTAATCTTTTTTTAATGCTTTGGCAAAAACTTGAGTCTAAGAAAACACACTTGAGTCTATAGAAAACAATTATTTAACTTTTTTATAAATTGTAGTTTATATATACATACCTTTACTTGAGTATATATTTTACTTGAGTCGATTATTTGATTGCCTTGGGTAAATTTGATTGACTGGGGGGGGGATTTTTAATCGGATCGTCACAGACTCATAAACCAAAAATGCCTGGTGAAATTTGATTGCCTGGGGGAACCCTATTGCCTGAACCCTACGACACTTGGTCAATTGCACTTTGGTCTACTTTGCCTGAGGCAATTTACCGCGTTGAAAGCACGCCATCCCGTCCGATCTGGCAAGTTAAGCAACGCTGGGCTTCCTTAGTACTTGGAACGGAGACGTCCTGGGAATCGGGGGTGTCGTAATCTTTTTTTAATGCACTTTGGTCTACTTTCAATTGCACTTTGGTCTACTTTGCCTGAGGCAATTTTTAATCGGATCGTCACAGACTCATAAACCAAAAATGCCTGGTGAAATTTGATTGCCTGGGGGAACCCTATTGCCTGAACCCTACGACACTTGGTCAATTGCACTTTGGTCTACTTTGCCTGAGGCAATTTTTAATCGGATCGTCACAGACTCATAAACCAAAAATGCCTGGTGAAATTTGATTGCCTGGGGGAACCCTATTGCCTGAACCCTACGACACTTGGTCAATTGCACTTTGGTCTACTTTGCCTGAGGCAATTTTTAATCGGATCGTCACAGACTCATAAACCAAAAATGCCTGGTGAAATTTGATTGCCTGGGTCTACTTTTGACAATGCACTCTGGCCTACGGCACTTGGATAAACATTTCTATAGTATATAAAAAAGACAAATCATCCGATCAAGGGCTAAGTCTCAGCAGATCGCAGCGAAGAGCTGCTCTACTGTTTACAACCCCCTGACCAGTATTCAAGTCGTATACAAGTGATTT